CTTATTTTATGTCTTCTTTAGGAGAATTTTTTAAAGAGACAAAAATGCATTTTAATAAAGAAGAAACTATTAAAATCCTTTTATTTTTTTAATATTTTCCTATTATAATATATCTTAATGTTTTATTTATTTTGGTTTATTTGATTAAAGAAAATATTTGTAAAAATCGTTTTAATTTAGATTTTCTACAATCGTTTATAATTTCTAAAAATATCTATTTTGTGTATTTTCGAAATGAATTATTGAATCCTTTTAACTTTAATTTAATTAAAAAATATGACTGGCCATTTAGCGCATTTAAAAATTTTATTTATCAAAAGTATATTATTGCTATTCCTTTTCATTCACATGTTTTTCATTTAATTAATTTAAATTATTCTTTATTTTTTAAAGATAAGAATTTTAATATTTATATGTATATATAAATATTATATTTTTAGCTAATCATATATTATAATTTTAAATGTTTATATATATACATAAATATATATATATATATATATATAATTTATTTATATTTATAATTTTATTACCTTTTATTTTTTCAAATATTAATTAATATTATTACTAATAGTTTAAATAAAGTTTAATGTCTAAATATTAATTTATTATTATAAATCTACAAATTCAATCAATCTTTTTAGTCCTTACTATTAAGAAAAAATATTATGTTACATAACAAATTATTCCTATAAAGAAGAATCAATTTTAATAAAATTATTAATTTTCCATAATTAAAATTCTTATTGAATTAATTTAATTTATTTTTTTACAAATCTTTCAAATTTTTTTTTTTTATTTTAAAAAAATAAAAAAAAATACCTTTCTTAAATTTATTCAAAATTAAAAATTTATTAATTTTATTTTTAATTATTATCTTAATTAATTTAATTAGCATTTTCCAGTTTAATTGATTCTGATCTTGCTTTAGAAATATTTTCGGAGTTTTTTTTCTAATTTATAAGATATTATAAGAATTGAAGAAGCATATCCACTACTTAACTATCATATTTAATGTTTTTTACTTATTATTCCATTTTTTATAATATTTGTTAATCACTTTAAGTTATGTTATTTTGATTTTATTAAACATTTAATAATTAATAATTTTTTTCAATATAAACTTTCCCTTACAAACAATCTGAAATCCTCTAAATTAATCTAAAACTTTAAAAAGAATTATATTCTATCATTTTTTTTCCTTCTAAACATTATAACATATATTCGATATTTATACAAGACTTTTCAATGCATAATTGAATACTTCCTTCAGGGAAAATCTTACACTCATTATAAATGCAATCAATAAGCTTTGGCATAGATGATTATTTATTTTTTATATAGTTATTTTTAAATAAAATCTGAAGTAAATAAGTGCAAGAAATGCATAAATCTATTTATTTTTATTAATTAAAATCTAAATAAGTATTTTGTATTTATAGACCTTCTTATAACCTAAGTATAAATAAATAAAAAATAAATATTATATATATATATAGTTTTATATATATTATTCAATTAAATATATTTACAATTATATACAAATATTTATTTATTAAACTCCGATTTAATCCATCATATTTTATACTAAAGAATATGTATTTTCTTTATAATATCTACTAAAAATTAATAGGATAAAAGGTACATCTTAATCAATTAGACTTCCTTTATAATCTTATATGCATATTACTAATACTTCCATTAATATTTAAAAATCTAAAAAACTCCAAGTTTATAACTCTTTTTTATTTAAATCCTTTTTTTAATAAAGATATTGAAATAAATAATATATATTATAAATATATATACCATAGTTTATTTATATGATAATAGTTATCTAGCTGCATTAATTCTAATCTTTGGAAATTAATAATGTAAAAGGTTAAGCAAAATATTTTTCCTATCTTTTAAATCTAAAGCATTTCTAATATTTTTTTTAATAACCCTAATTATTTCATAATTGATATCATTAATAACTTTAAATCCATTTTTAGTACTTCCATAAAACATATTAAATAAATCTAAAATATCAATAATTGTTTATACGATAACAGGATTATTTTAAACAAAATCTAAATATTAACTATTTAAATTTTCTATCTATGTATCATAATTTTCAAAAAAAATATCTTCTTGTAAATATATTTAACCTATACTTATCATTTCACAATATTAATAAGTATCTTCTTATAAATATTACAATAAATCTACACAATTATTAATTTCATCAAAAAATTATAAGATTTCATCATTTGAATAAAAATATTAATACCTTTTAAAACAAAACAAAAAATTAATTAAAATTATTATTAATAAAAATAAATATATTTTACATCATTTTATTCTAAATAAACTAACAAACAGCAGAAATCAAAAGAGGGTCATTAGGTTATAATTTATAAACTTTAATAGCGATTATTGTAATTTAATTAATTTACGAAGGACTAGCTTATTATAAATAAGCACTTGATGTTTTAATTAACTGAGCAAAATATAAAATATTAATATTATAAATTTGCTTTTAAACCCTTTTTTCCTGTTCATTTGTCCTATATACTTTTAAAATTTCATATTCGAATTTTGTATGAAAATTCAATTTAAAGTTTAATTGCTAAATTAAATTTTTAATTAAAAATTCCTAAAGAAATTGAGGGTTTTACTAAGTTAAATTTATATATTCGATTTCACTTTAGGAATTACCTAAAGAGCGATTTTTTTAATTATTTACAAATTATTATAATAAACCTTTTTAAATTTTATTCAAAAGCTATCTTTCATTTAATTATTAGATACTAATTTTTTCAATTAAAGATAATAATTTAGTTTAAAAAGTTAAAAAAGTAATTAATTATTGACCTTTTATATCTTATTTTATTGAATCTTATTAAGGAAAAGATGAAAGAAATTTATAATATACATAACATAATTATTTCTTTTCTTCATCACTAGTAAAATGTTATAAAAAATATTTATTTTACATACATATTTCTAATAATCTAAAATTATATTTAAAGAAAAATAATATAAATATATAAATATATAAATAAATATTTTATATATATTTTTATTTATTTATTTATAAATTTTTTATATATTTACTTAAAAACATCTAAACATTTATCTAATTCATTTGTAAATCTTTTTTAATTATTTTTTTTTAATCATTTGATAATTAATCATTATCTAAAATTTCTTATGAATCTTCTTATATATTATCATAAGAAATTTCTTAAATTTCATATAAATTTTCTAAAATTGAATTTAAAGAAAAATATTGAGCTATCTTAAATTGCATATATATAAATTTTAAATATATATATATATATTATATATATATATATATATATATATTATTTTATTATTTTTTAAATAAATATACTTAATAAATCCAATTATCAATTACAAAAAAATTTTTTCATTTTTCATAAAAATATTTTATATAAAAGGAATTTCTAAAAATTAACAAGTAACATTTAATTAAACTATTTATAATTCTATCCATTAATTAACATTTATGTTTTAAATAATACTATCTAAAATGCATTCCTAAATCAATTCTTTTATATCTGGATTTAATAAAATTAAATATTATAGTGTTTCTATACATCGACTCCCTATATCCTAAACTTCTTCATTGTTTTGGAAAATCTAAATATGCTAATTATGATAAACACATTAATTATTAACTTTTATATTTATTATTTATTTTCGATTACTAAAATGCAATTTTATATAAATAGTTCAATCATTTAATCCTTTTGATAATTATTTTTTATTTATTTATTTAATTTTTACTATAATTTCTATTTTAAAAATATGCTAAAATTAATATTGTATTGTTTCTTTATCTTGATTTAATATTTTTAATACAAATAAACTTAATTCTTATGCATATATATTGGATTTTGTAGTTCCTATTAAACATAGTTCGCTTAATTCGATTAAATTTTTTAATTAACTTGTTATTATATTAGTATTATAATCGTTATTTTTAAAATTTTATAATAACAAAACTTATTTATTCATATATTTGTTTTTAAAAATAAAATTTAAATTTCTTAATTATATTTTTTTTAAAAAAAAATAAAAAACAAGACAATATATTTTATTTATTTATTTTCAGAAATATATATAAATATGATTCAAATAATAAATCTTTTTTTTAAAAAAAATAAATAAATATAATTAAATTTAATGATGAAATACTATTTCATATATTAGATAAATTAAAAACAAAACTTAAATAAAAAAGATAAGTTTAATATTATTTATTATACCAAAATAATAATATTATTATAAATTTTGAAATTAAAAACATATTTTATAATTAAAAGTTAATAAATTATTGCTTTATTTAAAAAAAGTATATAATAAATTCGAATTTTATTTTTTAAAAAAAAATATAAATATTTTATATTAAAAATAACTAAACTTGCTTATTTATTTTAACAGAAGAATTTATTAACTAAATAAATAACGATTTGTTAATATAATTTAATATATATATATATATATATATATATATATACATTTATAAAAATTAAAAATTTCATAGATGAAAAATATTTATTTTATATTCTTAAAATATTTAATGTTATTATAAAAATGTAGCTAATTTTGTAAATTAATATCAATAATTTGCTTATAATTATATTTTTTTATATTTGAAAAATAAATATATATATATATATATTTAGTATATACAACAAATAAAATTGTATTTTAATATTTTAGTTTTAATATTTTTTTTAATTATAAAAAATAGATTTTTTAGATTAAAATAAATATATTTTATTAATTTATATAATTTAAATATTAAAAGTAAAATTATTTTCTTTATTTTTTCCATATTGTATTATTTTTTTTATAAAATATATTATAAATGATTTTTCTATTACACTGAATCAATATTTAATTTTTAAAATTATATAAATAATATAATATTATATAATATAATATAAAATGAAAATATAATAATATAATAAAAAATTTAATCAATAAAAAAAAAAAAAACTTATATTAAAAAAAGTTCAAGAAAAAAAAAAAAAAAAATACAGGAACACTGAATAAAATTTCTAATAATATATCTCATAACAACATAAAACTATAAAAAAATGTCTTAACTAATTAATAACTTTCAATAAAATAATAAAAATATCGAAAAAAATTAAGATGATAATAATTTATAAAATTAAGAAAGAAAAAATTGTTAAATGTATATTGATAATAATAGATAAAATTAAGAAAGAAAATATTGTTAAATGTATAAAAAAAATATTATATATATATTACTAAAACAATATTCAAATTACATTTTTTTTTTTTTTTTTTTTTAATTTTTTTTAATTTTTTATAAATTATTTTAAAATAATATTTCCAAATATTATATTAATATATATTTTTTTATATAGGAAAGGTTCTTTTATGATCACTATAGGAAGAGATTTACAAACAATTAAATCAGAACCATAAGGTATATAATTAATTTTTTTTTTTTTTTTTTTATAAATGTACTTTTTTAAAAAAAATAATAACAGTTGTTGAATAATAAATTGAAGACGAAGTACTTCTGACTTTATTAAAATTAGATGAAAAAAATATAATCATATATGACATAGCCTCTGTTATAAATTGGGGAGATTTTTCTAAGGAAAAACCTTTGTAAACATTCAAGTGTTTATATGACACTGATAATAAGAACTTCTATGTCGAACTTTCTGAAAAAAGTCCAATGGAACACCTTACTAAAAGTACTTTTCTTAAAATTCTTGATATTGCTGAATAAATGGGTGCCTAAAATGTTTTAACATGTTTAAATAATAAGATTTCTGATATTAACACTAGAATATAGATCTTAATGTTTGTAGGTTTTAGAAAAATTATTGGTGAAGAACTCAAATCTATTTCTAAAACTCGTACGCATACTATATTATGTTATGATCTTTAAAATGAATGATTTTTATAAACTTTATATATTTATTATTATAAATTCATAAATTCATTAAATTAAAATCTTATTTTTAATTTCTTTTATATTTTTTTTTTTTTTTTAAATAATTCAGTATTTTTTATGTATATATATATATATATTTTTTTTTTTCCCATAAAAAATTATTGTTTTTTAATTTCTTTTATACAATTTTCTTTTTCTTGTTTTGTTTATAAAAAATATAAAATAAATTATTAATCATATTTTTTTGTTTTGTACGAAGTTATACGAATTAATGTTTACAACCTTTTTCTTTAATAATAAAATTTATAATTTTAATTTTATTTATATAAAAATGCATTATTTTAAAAAATAAAATATATTAGACAATAATCAATTATTATCATTATTTTTTTATTTTAATTTAATAAAAAAATATATTATAACAAATTAAAGATAATGAATAATTTCATAGTTTAAAAATTATTCTTAATTTCACAATTTAAAAACTATTTTTAATTTTATTAAAATAAAATTACTAGTATAACTTGTTTGTAAAATATCATAGGTAAATAATAAATTTTTAGTTTTTAATAAGATTTTGAAGTATTCTTAACTAAATTGTCAATAAATTTCAAAATTAAAAAATCAGATTAACTATAGATAACCTTTATTATATTAAAGAGATGGATCAAAAAAAAAGGAATTAATTAAAATATTTAAATATTTATATATAAAATAAGAATTTATTAAAAAAAAATATATATTTATGTTTAAAAATAAAGATAATTTTTAAAATCAATATTATTTTAAAACAAAAAATCAAGAAAAAGAATAATTACTAATTTTTATATTTTAAAAATAAATTTATTATTAAAATTTATAAAATTAAATATTTTTTTATAAATTATATAAATTTAAAATACTATTTTGATATTTGTATGAAAAGGAAATAATAATTTTATTGATATTTATATTATATATATTATTTAAAAAAATTATATATATAAATATATATATAATATGTCTATTTAAATTATATTTTTATATATTTAATAACTTAATAATATATTTTTCAAAAAATTAATATACTTTTATTAAAAAAAAATATTTTTAATATTTAATAATTACGAATTATTTCGAATATTAATATAGAAATATATTATATTTATTTTTATCATTTTATAAAGAAAAAAAAAATTGTATAATTTATTTAAATAAAAAAATTATTTTTAAAAGAAAATTTATATATATATAATAAATATTAAAAGAATTCTTATTAAAAAAAATATAATTAATAATCTATTAATCAATTTAACAATATTTTAATTAAAATTTTCACATATTTTATGTATTTTTTTTATTTTTTTATATAATCTTTTGAAAGCATTATGATATCTATATACTTAAATTTTATTAAATTATAAATATTTTATATTCTTTATTTTAGTTATTAAATATATTTAAATAATTAATTTTATTAAAATATTTATGATTTAAATAAACAACAAATTTAATTGTTTTTTTATCTGAAATTTATTAGTTTTTAAAAAGCCATTTTCTTTCAAGAATTTTCATTGTTTATTAAATATAATATATAATAAAATATATTATGATAAATAATAAAATAATATTTATATGTAATAATTTTAAAATAATTGTATAAAAATCTATAATGAGTTAATAAATACATCTTTTTAAATTTTTACAACAAAAAATATGATATATGAAATGTATAAAATATAAAAAATTAAATAAATTCTCATTTAAATCGTATTATATAATAGGATTAAAATATAATATATATAAATAAATTCTCATTATTAATATATTTGTATTGTAAATTAAATTAAATAAAATATATATAGATATAATTATATATATATATATATATATATATATATTATGCGTATGTGAATATATAGAATTTTAACTTTATATATATATATATATATTTTTATTTAAAAATAAATATTATTATTAGATATATTTTATAAAAAAAAAATGTAAAAACTAATTTAAATTTTTTTAAATAAAAATATTAATAATATATGATATCTTATTTATTTTATAATAATTTAATAAAATATATATCTTTTTAATTCATTTTTAATAAAATAAATATACATTTTATTTTAAATTATAGGTAGTTTCTTTTATATTTAAATCATTTTTTTCCTTTATCTTATTTAGAATCTTTTTTATCAGTAGATTTAGCTTCAGCTTATTTATTTGGCTTTTCAGCTTTGTCAGCTTTAGATTTTGCTGCTTTTTTAATGTCTTTAGGAGATTTATCACCGAATTTAAATAACAAAAATTAGTTAAATTATTTAGTTTTAAGTTATTTAAAAATATTAATCATTTTTTTTTTTTTGGAATATTTAATAGATTATAAAAATAAAATATTTTCTTTTAATAAATTTTTTAATAAATAAAAATATTTTTATATA